TGTATGTGTCTAAAGTACTTGATTCCTAATAAAAAGGTTCAATGTTTTAATTCCATTCGGAGATATAAAAAGACAGACAAACCCCAACCACCAGAAAATTTTCCTTTGCAAAGTCAGTTACAGAAAATTTCACAGTGGGGGGTGGGGTGGGCAGAAACTGAGTAAAGAGAGGATAAGTAATGTACATGGCATTGAAACATACAAGGGAGAGAACTGTATAAAAGGAATATATGATTAGGTACTACTGGTGTGACAAGAATAAGAGCTGCACGGTAAATTGGTCTGGGATGGGGGAAAGGGGGGCAATGAAAGGACTTTTTTTTTAAAAAAGAAAAAAACAAACTGGGGGGAGGGGAGCAGGGAGGAAAATGCAACAATGAATGCATGGAAATCCAAGTTCTTTATAAACTTACAATAAAATCTCAATTAAAATTTTAAAAAGATAAAAAAATAAACCTCACAGGATAAACTCTCCTCTCTGACACACACATGGGGTTGCAATGAGTAGTAATCAGTCTCATCCCGACTCATTTGTGATAGACATTGGGATGTGGGAAGTCAAAGGTCCTGCCTGGCCAACATTGTTAAAAAAAGTGTCTTGTTTTCAATTTCTGGTATTTTCTTTTTTACCAAAAGCTGAGATCACAGGCAGAGCCATCCAGGTTTCATGGTGCTTGAAGCTTATCCAATTTAGGATGTGAGAACCTGACAACTGTATCTTGAGAAAGGAAATAGAAATACACGTGAGACCAAGCACATGACCTGAGATGGCCAGCGAGTGGTCCTGGAGTGCTAGCTTTGTTAGTAAACCCGTCTCTGGCTGTAGTCATAGGCCATCAGGTAACTTGGAAGCCTTATAGATGAGATGGATCACTTCAGTGACTGGGGTAATGAAGGTTGATGTGTCAGAGACGATAAGACTCCCATGAGATAGAGCAGGATTCTAGGCTATTGTACACAGGCTTGCTATGAATCGCACGTGACTTGACAGCACATAACAACAACAACAACAACATAGTGGGTGACACAAAATGCTTATTTCAGAAATTGGAGGAAGGGATAGAATGGTCCGGTGTTGAAGAGAGAAAGTCAAACATAACTCTGACTCAGCCTCGTGGTGCCATGTGACTATGAGTCCGGAGGGACTGGAGAACATTATGCTGAGTGAACAAAGTCTCATCAAGACTAATACTGTCTAAGACCAATATTGTAGAACGAGTATGAGGATCTGAGGGCGGGCCTAATCATAGGATCACACAGTTTGATGGGTGGTGGGAGGGATGGTAAAGGAAAGGGGAAGGATTGGTGTGAAAAACAATGTATACAAACTTTTTGAACTTTTTATGTAAAAAATATAAAATAAAATAAAAAAATAGACTGATTCAAAACCAGCTTATTTTTTGTTTTTAAAAAATTGCTTCTTTTTCCCCCCACTTAAAACTGGCCTTTAAAAAAAACAAACCCAAAACAAAACCACAAAACAAACAAACAAACAAAAACCCCACAACAACAAAAAACACCAAACCCGTCTTATTTTAAATGCAAGTAAATAACTAACTAGCCTGGCTCTATACACAGAACTTTTTTTTTTTTTTTTTAGCATGGAAGATTTTTCCTTAGGTTTCCAGACCAGTCACTTGATTGTTGTTGCCAGAGCAATAAACTTTGTATGGCAGGGTTTAGAATAAAACTTCTTCTTGGACTGTTTTGTAATCTGTCGATGCCAGGCTTTGATAAGAGCTAATGGTTGGGGTTCAGACACACTCTCTCGAATGTACCCTGAGATCTCTTGTCATTCAGACCCACTTGGGGAGCTTGTTGAAACCTCTTTCCCGTGGGTGTTCCTCACAGAGGTCCCTGTTTCCAAGGAATGCTGTGGAGACAAGGTGATTTGGAGGCAACTGAGGCCCAGAATGCTCCCTGCTGAAAACTACTCCAACACCAACAACAAATCTGTCATGAGAAGGAGGGTTCATAAATGTCCTTGAGAACAGGAGAAACTGAGGCATAGGAAAATGTAAATCAACTTGTGCTGTCCCTTAGCAAGTAGATATCAGAAGAGAATATTCTGGCTGTTAGAAGACTTGCCATATAGGTCACAAGCAGACGAACGGATGAGAACTATTCAGTCATGATTATTAAGCCGATAGTCATGACTTGGTGAGGATATGGAGCGCCAATGGAGAAACTGTGTGTTGTTGATTGTCACAGGGGGAAAAAAAGCAGCTGGGGGTGCACAAGAATTAGTGATCACTAAAGAAAAGCTTTTAGAAGGATTTTTCAAAAGTGTTGACAAGGGAAAAGGAAAGAAAAAGAGATGTTACAAGTGTGTAGGACAAGATGTTGGACCTGAGTGAACGGGGATGCTAAGACCCAAACAAGAAACAGAATTCCAGGTCTGCAGGGGCAGGGCGAGATTTGCACAGCGCCCCACAAATCACAGGCACTCAATCAATGCTTGTCCAGGGAATTTGCCAAGGGGGCTGGGGGCTGATGTTGCCTCGATTTGATAACTACTATTTTCCTGGTTGCTGCGATCCTGCTGTAGGCGGTAAGCCAGGGCGCCCCATAAACAGAAACAGACAATGTGAGGTAATAGAGGAGAGCCTGGAAGCTGGGAGACAAGCAGGAGGAGGGCCCAGTGGTGAGGCTGGCCCCAGGTGGTGGAGTGAGTGCTTGGATGCTGTCTTCCTCAGCTGGGGGTGTGTCTACAGGCGGCAGGGCGGGAAGGGTGATTTCATCTGTTTAATGAAAAACGACCTGAACAATTCTCTGATCCTGGAAACTCCCCATCTCACCGAGGCCAAGGAAAACACCATTCCGTCTCTGGACTTCTGTGACGGCTTTGCATCTGCTCCGAAGGAGTTAAACATCACACAAGCCACCTCCTTCCCTGTCTATTCAGAGACACCAACCAGGAAGACTCTGAGGACATGCAATGTGTTAACATGACACACTTTCTTCTGGTCCACTTTCCACTCTGATCATGTGGTTTTGCTTTTAAGCAGACACCTCGTTTCTTCCACATGCATTTCCAACAGCAGAAAGTTTGCTATGTGAAGTCCCCACAAACTTTCTCCAGCTCTCTGTCCCAATGGATGGGCTACTGATGCCACATTTAATCATCAGCTCTGACCTCCACGAGGGGCAGCTTTCACCCTCAGGCCTGAGACGAAAACCACAACAAGCAGTTTTGCCAGTCAGGACAAGACTGACATGTGATTATCTGGGTCTTATCTCGTGGGGGTGTCACTTTTCAAGATTTTTCTGCGTGGGTATTATTTGCCAGCTAAAGATCATGGCACACTGAAAAAAAAGCAAATAAGCCCAGCACAGCTGCCAACACTGAAGCCTCTCTCGAATGCCCAAATTCCACAAATCATCCTTTTAACTAGACCAAGTGCATGGATCAAGTCATAAGGCCAATTTGTTTTAATGCAATGTATATTTATTGTAAACAATAATATACAAAAACAAAAGAAAGAAAAAAGGGGAGGAAATGAAGGAAGTTTCACAGAGAGAACAAAAGGTTTGGGGGGGGGGGCAAGTAAAACAAACACAACACAAACACAAACCAAATCTTACCTAAAGACAAAATATGATTTCAATGCCAGGTTTCTTAAGTTACAGAAATATTTTTTTTTTAAAAAAAGATCTGCTTTTATACAGAAATCGAAAGATGCCATATTATAAGAGTGCTTTAAGATTTTACTCTACTGACTTCTAAAACTGTTAATATATCTTTTTTTTAAATAATAATAAAAAAAGGTTTGCTGTCTTTTTCAAAAGCAGTCCTCCAAACTCTCCAGCCACAGCAGTAAGTATGAGTCCTCGGTTTCCCTCCACCCTCTCCCTCTCTCCTGGCACTGAGGGAAGCCGCACGACACACCACACGTTTGTGTTGTTTTGTGTCATCACACACGTACACGCTCCATGCGGGCAACCCCGAGCTCTGTGGCAGAAAACACTGCAAATGACTCAGTGATACACTACATTTGCAATTTTTCATTTATACAAAAAAAAAAAAAGAGAGAGAGAGAGAGAGAAACACGTTTCCAGTTTGTTTGCAACAAGAACAACAAAGTCAGGGGTTGGGAGAGAAATGACCAACCCAGGAGGCAAAAAGGCATCTGTACAAATCTACAACAGGAATCTGAAAGAAACTTGTTTTCAATAATAAAAAAAGGTTAAAGAGATAAATAAAAAAAACCAAAAACAAACTGGTTACAGTTAAGAACATAATTTAATAACAGATGACCATACCCTTTGGGGAAGGCTCCAACAACCTAGTTTCCAGAAAAGTTTTTTAAATTTTTTTTTTAAAAAAAAAAAGAGGAAAAAAATGAGGAAGATTCCCCTCCCCTCCCCCATTAAAACCTCTCCTTGCAAAATAAATAATTTGAACATATGGAATGTCTTGAAGGTTAACCGCTGGTGATCAGAGAGGCACAGGTGACAGTTAAAGAGAGGTGGCTCCAGCATCTGTGTCCCACATGGTGGCCTGTTGGGCAACCGGGGCCGGAGTGCTGGGGGCACTTATTGGCTGCTGAAACATTCCTGAAAACAGACTGCATCTCTTCTGCTTGCCTTTTGCGTCTTCTCACGGGATCGAGCAACCAAGGATGCAGGGAATGTCACCAGAGAGCAAGAAGGCTCCTTTACAAGCAGCTGGTTTTAAGGCTCAAGGTTCCTTTTGCTTCAAAAAATATATGTATATGTATATATATATATATATATATATATATATATATATATATATGATAAAGCTTACCAAGTGCTTCTCTAGACTATTGTCTGCTCCCTATATTTGAAAGGAAAGGAAAAAAAATTAAGGCCTTTATTGTTTTTGTAAGGCAGCTAGCTTCTCCTTGAATCAGAAAGCCTGTGGAAGAAAGCAAAGCTAATCCTCCAGACTGTTCACACAAGTTTGTGTTGCTTTGTGTGTGTGTGTGTGTGTGTTTAAGTTAATGCAGGGACACACATACTTTTTTTTCCTTTTTTACGAGAAAGCAAATCTGTACAAAAATACTCTGGTTCCAAGAAAAAAGCTAAGGCGCACTGTCCAACTAGGAGTTTAGCTGTTGGAAAAATAAGAGCATTTTAATTTCTTCATCTAAAAATATGTATAAATCCCCTCAAAATGGTAATGAATCATACACAGTACATACTAAAAATATTTAAAATAGAGAATATTCCTCACAGAGGACTCTTTTCTTTAATTACTGCTAAAAAATAATTACAAAGTCCCAACAGGCAGAGAGCTTGAGCAAACTGGTCGCAGGCTTCTCCATGGGCGCCCACCTTTGCGTTGAAGGTTTCTCAATCCAGCCCCTCCTGTCTCCTGCGGGTCCACCTAGCAGAGAGGCCTGGCCACTGATTCTCAAGAAGTTTGGCCATGCGTTTGGAATGATCCAGTTTCTGTCTTGGAATCTGTGTACGCGTTGCCTTTAGCGTCAATGTCTTTAAGGAGGAAGAGGGAAGAAAAAAAAAAAAGCGTCCCAAAATGTGGCTGGTTTTCTCTGGCTTCGCTTTGCTTTTCTGATGCGTGCGCTCTGATGGCATCCCGGGGTCCCTCTCCTTTAGGGCCTGGTGAGCTGTGTGTAGACGGGCTGTTCCCAGTGCTGGGGGCTGTGGGTCTGCGGGATGGAGGGGACCCCCGAGGTGTCGGCGATGGGGGTGTACATGGGCCGCTGCGCCGGGTTCATGTAGGTGAAGGTGGAGTAGAGGCCCGAGCCCTGGCCCGCGTGGCTGTAGTAGGAGCTGGAGTTCTGGTGGTCTGCGTAGTCGTACTGCGAGCGGGTGATGGGCGGGTAGGTGGGGCTGTAGTGCGGGAGGTTGAAGGGGCTGTAGGCCATCTGCTGCGGGGAGTTCTGCTGCTGCTCGCTGTAGTGGCTGGGGCTCAGCTGCTCCGTCTTGATGTGCGTTCGCTGCGACTGGCCCGGCTCGCTGCTCAACGTGGTCAGCGTGTGCGCCGGCTGCTGCGGGGGCGCGGCGGGCGGCTGGGGGGGCGCGGCGGGCGCCTGGGGGGCCTGCGGGGCCTGAGGGGGCTGCGGGGCCTGCTGGGGGGGCGGGGGCGGCGCCTGCTGCTTGGCCATCCACACGTGGCCCGCGCCCGCCGGGGTGGCCGCTGTGCTGCTGATGCCGTAGCTGCCAGTGTAGGTGACCTGGCCGTGCGTGGCCGGCACCCCGGGGTGGCCGTTGGGCGGCAGGTACTGGTCGAATTCGTTGACGTCGAAGGTCTCAATGTTGGAGATGACATCGCTGCTCAGCTCACCGATGTCCACGTCGCGGAAGTCGATGGGGGGCTGCCTGCCCCCCTCTGGCAGAGGACGCCCCTCTCTCTTGAGGTCTGCCTTGCCGGGCTGTACGTCGGTTTTGGGGGTGGTGGGCGGGGTCGGCGGGCCCTGGGATTGTCCTGCAGAGAAGAGGAACAAACATAGGCTTTTGAATATTGGTCTTGGAATAGCAAGTCTGGGGCCCTGAGAGGGGGGAACCCTTGGAGGGGGACCCTCCCTCCGGCTGTGGCGCATGGGGGACCCACGCGCTGTGCTGTAGATAAGCATTGGGAATGATTAACTCGCCAGTTTCCTTTTATCAGGGAGGGTCTGGGGCCTCGAGGGTCCGGAAGACCAAATTGCTACTCGTCCAAGAGCTTTGTGTGTGCTTTTGGGGTGGGGGCGCAAGGGAATTAGGGCCACGACTTGGAAAGCTGTAAACCTCGCAGTAAATCTCTTAGGCTGCGGGGCTTGGGGTTGGGCTGTGAGGGGGTGGTGTGTGTGTGAGAGAGAGTCAGTCCTGGGGGCCCAGGGGGTCCTGCACAAGGGCAGGAAGGGGACTGGTGGAGGGTGGCGGGAGAGGCGCGGAGTCCCCGGGGTGCGCCTGGCACAGCCCAAGGACTCACCTGAGTGCTCGCCGGGCGAGTGCACCTCGCTCATGCCAGAGGACGAGTGCGGCGAGTCGGCCTGCAGCGCCTTGAAGATGGCGTTGGGCGAGATGTGGGTCTGCTCGGCCGCCTCCTCCGCCTCGGCCTGCCCGTTCTTCACCGACTTTCTCCGGCGCGGCTGGTACTTGTAGTCCGGGTGGTCCTTCTTGTGCTGCACGCGAAGCCGCTCCGCCTCCTCCACGAAGGGCCGCTTTTCGCTCTCGTTAAGCAGCCTGGGGGGCGGGTGGGTAAGCAGAGAGGGGGTGGTCAGCGACGGCAGCAGAACTGTCAGGTCGGCGGGGGGGGGCGGGACCCGACCTCTCCATTCCTTTGCACATCATCCCCCCCCCCCTTCCGGCTACTGTCGCAGGGCATAACTCAGTGGTGCACGAATAATAATAAAAAAGAAAAAGAGAAGCGATCTCGGGACCTTGAGTCCGACCCGGGGGTCACTCTGCCCCGCCCCCTTCCCTGACCAAGCCTCCCCTTTTGCCGCTGCTCCTATGAGCTGTTTCTGGACTCCTCTCCCCCCTCCAGAACTCCTTTACACCTTTTAAATATTCACATTCACCGCAAAGCGAGTCTCCTTCACCCCCCCAACCCCGCCCCCCCAGCACAGCTCCTATCAGTTTCCTGCAGCTTCCCTCTCAGTCCCCCTCCCCAAGTCTGCAGGACAGCGAGAGGGCGCGCTGGCGAGGTGAGGGCGCAAACTTCCTCCCCAGTCCCCCCTCCACACACTCTGGGTAGAACTTAATGGCCACAGGCGATCCAAGCTGGCACCCCCTCCCACCGCGTCTTTCGAGTCCCCTCCCACCTTCTGGCTACCCTTCCCCTCCCTCCAGTCTAGCCCCCC